TGTTTTGGTTTTTTGGCCTTTTTTTGTGGTGGGGGGGTGAGATTTGTTGCGGTTTTTTTTTTGGTTGTTTTTTTGGTTTTGGTTTTTGTTTTGTTTTGTTTGGTGATATTGATTTTGATTTTTTTTTTTTTGCATATGTTTCAGGCATTTCTCTATGATCTGCATCTGTTGCTGGAGATGATCCTGTGTATCTGCCTTTTTTGAGAACTAGTCCTCCAAGCAGTTGCTCATGGAACTTGAGCAGCCATGGGAATTGCAGCTTGCTGCTGATTTGGACCTAGAAGAAGCCAAAATAGGAATCCTGAGTAATCCCAGGAGAGGGGAAAATGTCTCCTTCTTCAGCACATTGGCTGAAACCTGGCATATGGGCAGGACAAGCAGACGTTTTCTTCCTTGCTCTGCAAGCCCTTTTCATTTAAACTGTGCAGAATAGAATATTCAGCTGTTCCCTTTTCCCACAGGTTAGCATGGATAATAAAGACACTTCACTCTTTGCTTTCAAATATTTTTCTAAACTATTTTGATCCTTGAAACATTTATACTAACAAAGAAATTCCACTGCCTCCTTGTCTCCCTCTCTCCCACCCCCACCCCAATAACTTGCTCTGTCTTGTAACTCTGACTTGATTTTTGGCATATATTTGCATACATTAGAAACGGAGAGAGGATTAAAGTTTAAGAGGAAATTGTGGCTAGTGTGAAAGGGGAACAAAAGGACATCTGTGAAGTAGCCCACAACTGGCAAGGAAAGCTATTCCACCTCCAGCACCAGCTGCAGGGGAAGTGGTGCCCACTGCCCCAACAAGACCTTCTTTGTTTTGCTGCAAAAACTGGGAGTGGTGGCTTTTAAAGTGACACAATTTGAGGTGAGGAGCTTCCCTTTTCCCTGCTCTATTCTATTCTGATATTGTATGGCAACAATAGATGTTTTTCCAGGGAAATAATTTTTCCCAAGATTGCCCCAACAAAATCTTCCAAATCCAGAGGGAGTACAGATTTATGGTGCTGGGTCTCTCTGCACCCACGGGCAGGCATGCAGGAGTTGCTGCTGTAATTTTCTCCAGGGCTCACAAGCCCTCCTAAACCTGCCACTACTTTCCAAGGCAGAGGAGGACATTTTCCAGCACTGTTTGGTCCTGCAGCAGCAGAAAGAGCTGGGAACGGTGTGGAGGATGTGGCAGATGGGGGGAAGTGTTGCGGGACAGGAAGCAAGCTGGAGCTGAAGGGAAAGCTTGAGAGTAAAAGAAGAGGAGGACAAAAAATGCAAACAGGAAGAAAAAATTTGTGCAAAGCTGGCTTTCAGTAAGGTAAGAGGGAACTGAGCTTTTTCTGAGGAAGAAAGTCAGAGAGGAAAGAAATAGGGAACACAGGAATGTGAACATTATCCCACCCAGTTGGGGGAGACAGTTTTCAATTCTGAAACGGTGGAAGCACCCTGGATTCATTAGAAATATCCTTTTAATACTCAGGGAAATCAATACTCCAAAACCTTGCTTACCTTCTGCTCACAAATCATCTGGAAGCTTCATGTGTTTATCCTCTTGCTGGGGACAGTAAAGAGAGAGGTGTCTGGAATTAGACTGGTCAAATCTCTCTCCTAACATTTAGTTTTCTCAAGGGTTTAGAGTGCTGCAGCTAGTCTTCCATTAATATTCCCTGAAAATATGGGGTTTTTTTGCCATGAATCTGCAAGGTATTGAGATCTGAAGCTCATGTGTTTCCTTCCTGGGTGTACAAACTTGGACTGCTTGGCTCCATTTCCCCCTCTACCTTAGCCACTTTGCTGTTCTGTTCTCCCTGGCTACATTCCTGCCTGGGGGCCACTGAGGACTGTAATGTCAAAAGGAGTCCTGGGGTTCTTCCCTCTGTGAGATTAATGTTCACATAGTGGTGACAACCTCCCTGTGTGTGCCCAGCCCATGCAGTTTTTATTCTGTGATGACTGTCTTCCATAGAGACTCATCCACACCACTTTATCAGGCTGGCAGAGTCCTCCCTGCCTTCCACCATCACTAAGCTTAATAAATGTGGCTCAAGCCACCAGCTTTAAATGACTTTCATGGAAAAACCAATCAACCAAACACCAAAAAATCCTGCATGGGCTTTCTTTTGAGCATATGCAACTAAAAGTCTCTGGAAATTCTCCTGTGTGGTTTTCTGTATATCACTCAGTTACTGCCAGGTCCCTTCTTTCCTAGCATGCACTTGGATGAAGAGGAGGAGATCTACGTTTACAGTATGCCCAGGAGTAGCAGAGCTGAGCTTTTTCAAAGGTTTGGGGTTTTTTGTTACTTAGTCTTTCAATTTGTTACATTTAAAGAGGGTGAAATTTCTTCATAAAGATACAAATTATAGCTGGATGTACTGACTAATACGAGAGATAACTGCTCAGCCCAAGGTCGGGTAGTCTTTAGGTGATATGTAGTAAGGAAACATGGGGAAGGTTTAGAAAAAAATACTATTTTTGCACATGATTTTGAAGGGAAATTATTTTAATTCTTGAAACTGTAAGCTAATTTTTTGCAGCTGTTGGCAACTTGTCTTTAGGTGGATACATTCCTAGTTGGAAAAGTCCTGATTCCTAGTCTGTGAGGGGAACATTAAGTGCTGAGTGCCACTGAGTGGTTTACATCTCTCCCTATCATTGTCCTCATAAGCTGATACATGGAATCTTCTGATGAAACTTGGCTAATAACATGGGTATAAAAAACTCTTGTATTCATCCATACTGGTAAAGCTTATCTGATAGGTTTAAAAAAGCTGATCATATTGTTAACAGTCTGAAAAATAGCCTAGAATATGAAAGAAGAGATCATCTTTTTCCCTGCCTCTCACTAGATGAAATAAGCTGACTTTCCATTTTGGCCTCTTCTGGCTCCCATGTCTTTGTGGACACCACCAATCAGGCAGATCAAATCTCCTTGCTTTTTCTCCCTGTGTTGGCTTCCAGTCACTGTGGAACAGGCTGGTGGATGTCACAGTCAGACCTGGGCATCACAGTAGAGTTTGAGGGTTAGTGGTGGTAGGGCTGGTGCACAAAAGGGAAAACCACCTGGGCTCATGAAAGCTGTCCTGCTTCCTAACTTGATCCTACAAAAACCAGGAAAAATATGTTCATTGCTGAAACAGTAGCACAACTATATCAGCAAAAGAAACAAAACTCAGGTACAAAAGGATACCATTTTTCCCCTAGCAGTTTCAAGGCAAAGCTGTCCTAAAAGTTTGTATGTAGAGCAGCCAAATAGTACTGAACTGAGGGACTCATTCTGAAGTTCAGAGGAGACTCAGTCTGAGAGGAGGTTCATCTCAGATTGACTGGACCTGAGTCACCAAAGAACAGTGACTTGTAACTAGAATAGAATAGAATAGAATAGAATAGAATAGAATAGAATAGAATAGAATAGAATAGAATAGTGCAGTCAGAAAGGATCTACAACAATCATCCAGTCCAACTCCCTGATCAATTCAGGGCGAGTGAATTAGTTGTTGATGTATTTTTAATATTTTGATTTTTTGTCACACACTTATGTATTAGCACATTTTCTTCATCATGGCACAAAAATTTTTCCTTTGTTTTTACTGTCTGATTAAAAAAAAAAAAGAGAGAATCAAAATGAAAGTATACACTTCAAAGAATTGAAAATATTGTAAGTTTTTCTCTATTTTCACAAGAATGAGCTCTATAGCAAGCACATTTCCATGTGGCTGTTCACTGCTCCAGCATTATTCCGTGACCTTTTTTGAAAGTACACAATCTAGTGCTGATTCAGGACAACATTTTGTGCCATGTCAGCCCATCATTGGCAGGAGAAAGAAAAGAAAGGATCCAACCCAGATGTTTCTCAGAATGTTCTGATAAACTCAAGATTTTAATGGCATTTGCTACAATAGAAAAATAATTAAAAGAGGGGGAGAAAAAGGCAAGTGGGAATGCTGGGCAGTCATGCAGAGGTGATCACTAAATGTCCTTTATGTACCCAGTTTGTTCTTGATACTTAAGGACACTGTGGTGCTTGTACATGAACTGGAGCCACTTGTCACTAGAAAGGCTGCCAGGATTAAATCAGTAAGAAATTGTTTATTCAGCCTGTTCAAACAAAAAATGAATTGTTTTGATGAATGAGATTTTTTTTTAATGAATTAGAACGTGTCATGCCAGTAGTTTTTAAATGTAAAGCACTGAGGCGGGTTTTTTTCCTTTCATTCTGACATAACTGCCCTAAAATAACTGAAGTACCAGGGCTCCAACAGCACATTACATTATGTATTGCAAATGACATAGTTGCCACTGTAGGTAGACAAACACCACTAAAAAATCCCAACCAAACAAACAACAACAACAACCAAAAAAAAACAGAGAAAAAAACCCCACCCCCTTCATACATTGCATATATCTGTAGTAGCTTTGATAAAATTGTCTTAATTTTCTACAACAAAAACCATTCAGTATTTCAGTTAAATGAACTTTCAGTGATGATGAATATTTCTCAGTCCCCCTAGTAGGATTATTACCCTTGGGCAAAATTCTTCAGCATCTTTTGAGAGAGATTTTAATAATGGTGATAATTTGCATGTATTGAACTAAGCACTTTCCTACAGTTTTCAGAACTGAACTAACCTTCCCTTTGTGGAAAGCTGTGTGCCTCCTTTGAAGCTGAGCTTACCAAAGTGGGGATATGACAGCCACATGTGCACCTTGCAAAGGGTCAGAAATATCACCAGTCCTAGCTGGTTGCTTCCATCATCCATGAGGGTTAAGTTAAACTACACATTTTTGGGTAAAAAAGCCCCAACCAAACCAAGTCAAAATCATACATAGGTTCACCTTGTCTATGTGAGTACAATATTTCAGCTTCAGTTATTATTTTTAAGAATAAGATGACTCATAATGATTACATTTATACATTTCCCCTGTTAGAACTTCCATGTCATTGGCATAAACTAGTTAATACATTGCTCACATTGAGGAATGTAAAGGTTCACCTTGGAAGAAAGGTGTGGCATCAGCCAAGATGAGGTTATGCCCATCAAAACTGTGACATTGTACCCATTCTGACTGGAAGGGGCATGGTGTCTGCATAACACCTCAGTTACAATTAGCAAATTAAACTTGCTCTGTGCTCAAGGCAGAGAATCTGGCATGGAAAAGCTCCAAAAGCTTTTTCAATCTATTCCAAATTGGCCACTGTGGTAACATAATTAAGACAATAGGGGTGTTATATTTGGAAATGTTGTTAAAAATAGTTTATATTATTCAAGGAGCATCTCTTACACTGGTAACTTTTGGAGATACCTCTGGCTGAAAGAAGGGAGAATTCACTGATACACTTGGAAAACAAGCCAAAATCTAAATTATGGTCCAGAAACCATACCACTAAGTCCATTTTGTTTTAAAGTCTTTCTTGACCACTTGCTTTAAGAATGAACATGAAAGAAATAATATATATATATATATATATATATATATATATATATATATATATATA